GGTAGTGTTGCTTTGTGGACATATTTGTGTAGAAGAGGACTTGATGAAGCTCAGGAAGATATTCGAGTTACATCTGACTTTCCTTCGGTTGCCTGAAAGCAACTGTTTAAATTATTCCATGTACTATAAGATTTAAATGTTGCGATTGTATTTCAAAGTACAGTGTAAATTCTAATCTATGTTTAATTGTGGCAGAAAAGATAATAGAGAAAGGAAATGTTATTTCTTTCTTTTGAAAGACTTTTCACTTACTACTTCAGCAGTACCTCATGTCTTTTCTGTTACAGCAGGTGAAAACTAAGGCCACTGAAACTGCTACTTCAGAACAGATGTATTGTCACAGCTCTCAGTCTAAAAAATACATAATTTTAAAAATAGTCTTCTGAATATTTATTATATGCCATCAAGATAGAAAAAGGGGACAAACCTATTCTTTCTCCCTTGCAGATCACTTTTAGTATATTAGTCTTCTTCCAGAAGCCGCTAGAGACAGCTGTCTAGAGGTAATCTGTTTTTTATCATAAACATGAAACCTCTCTCCCCTCCCACCCCAACAGGAAAAACACGTTGTGGTCTTCCAGTAGGATCATTTTAAAGATTGTAGTGCAGTGATAGGGCTTCTAGTTTCATGCTGCCTACGCTGGGGGCCTCTGATAAGAGCCACACCTGTTTTGGCATCACCTGACTTCAGCTGCATGACGTGGGAGCCCTCAAATACCTGGGTGTTTCCCATGCTGATGCTAACCTGCTCTGGAAAGGGTCTCTGACTCATGGCGAGGGGTGAAAGGGGGGAGGTATTTCAACTGTTCACCTAATGCATCTACTTTAGGCCAAAATAAGAGGACAGGACACCAGACTCTACCTGTAGTCAATGGAGAGATATTTTCAGGAGTAGCTACTTCAGGGCATCCAAAACACCAGTGAGTAATTTGTTACTTGAGGCTCAGTTCACAGTTACCAGCAATGGGCTGAAGCCAACAGCGGCAAGGAAAAAAAAACAAAAAGAAAAAATTACCACTGAAATAGCTTCGATGTGGCAGTATCTGTTACAGTTTTAGGGTACAACTTCATGTAATTTCTTTGGCAACAAAGGCAGTTTAAAAGGTTTCCTCTGCTGCCTGCTGGTATCCAGCTCTTGCAGAAAGGGCTTTTTCCTGTCTCCGGTAGGTCCCTCTATCCATGTGCTGTAACAGCATGTGGGACCCTGCAGCAAATCGGATTACTAAAACGACTGGGGTTTTGTTGGGAGGCGTGTTTTTGTTTAGAAACATAAAGGTTGTGGAGTGTTTGTTTTTGTTTGCCCAGAACATTTCAAGGATCTGGTTTAGGCTAACCTCACAAACCATGGCACAGCTGGGCAGGAAGAGGAGCAGACTGCAGGGCCGGCATCTATCCGCTTGTGCCTGAAACTCTCTCCAGCTCGGCCGCTAAAGAAAATACAAAGGGGCTTCACAAACAGTGTGAACCTTTCTGATAAATAATGACCTGGTTTTGCATACCCAAGTTTTTGGAGTATTGGATAAACCCCGGCAGTAAGTCAAACGTGTTCGGTTTGGACTTCAAAAGAAAATGATGGCTTCAGCTGCCGGGTCCCCAAGTTTACCATGTTGTTTGAAGTACTGGATTAAAAGCCAGGTTTGGAGACTGACTTTTTTTTAAACTGTTGTTATATGTAGTCTTGTCATTTTTTAGAACTGTATGAAAACAACTTGTGATAGGGAGAGGCAGAGAAAAAAAAGTACCTAGTTTAAAATTTTAACTTTCTCTTGCCTTCTGCAAAGGGTTAGCTATCTCTTATCCTGTACTGACCCAGACACTCTTGATTTTCTTCTATAACCTCTTCCAATTAGAATGACCTGGATGAAACTGCATAATCCTCCTCCTTGTTCTAGAAAAACTGAGATAAGGCCCTCGCAAACTAACCCTTCAATCCGTCTCATTTCCAAGCATGGGCAAGACTTCTGATCTCCCTCTGATGCTCTTGCTCCAAGCCATTGAGCCCAGGCTTGTTAGGAGGCTTTAGTTTCACTGTAGTGATTCCCAAAACACAGTTTTATCACTTCAGTAGTAAGGCTTTTCTTTTTATGCTGAGTTATTGTTGAATTTTATTTCTGTTTCTTTCTTGAGGTGTGGTTTCTTGGTGGTTTTTTTCCTCTCCTGCAGTCAGATGTACACTGCAAATGGCACAGACAGTGCCTCCTATTGTGGCTCAGGCTCAAGACTTCACATATGTAAAATGTGACTTGCAGCACTTTCTTTGAAGCCTAACCACAGCCAGGGAGCTGTAATTGCAGTCTTTGCGCCGACTTCACTTGTGGATTGGGCTTTGCTAGGGCATGCCTCGCTTGGCCAGACTTCAGCTACAGCCCCCCAGTGAAGCCTTAGATGTGGGAAGTCTTCAGTCTCCTTAGCACATGCCTGTGGTTTCTTGAAAAGAATCCTGATTTGACCTGTTTTATATCTGTAAGGCAACACCATCGTCGCTCATATTTTTTAGGTATTATTTAGTTTATCAGCAGTGGAAGCAGTTTCCAGTGTGTAGCCTTAATGTGCAGCTGGGGAAAGGCTGGGTTCTAGATGCTGTTTTCAGGATCGCTACTGTGTAATTTTCTGTACTGCAGCGTTTACTGAGAAATAAAAATATTTGGGGCTTCACTGTGCCTGTCCCCTTGCAGAATTACAGTACTATCTGCGGCCTCTCTATTGGAAGGGGATACAATTTAGGTGCCGAAAGGGGCTACAGAAAGGAGGCAGGCCCTGTGAAAGCTGCCTTTGGATTGAGAAAGAAGTGTTGGCCACTGTTAGAAAAAGCTGAGGGCCAGAGCAAGGCCGCAGTCGTTATTTTAACCTCCTGACTTCAAAGACAGCTTGCTGGTAAGGGAAGGGGGGAGGAGGCAGGGAACCATCTCAACAGAAGAGCATTTCATTTCCTTCGGTGAAGTAGACATTCCTGGCTGCTAATGGGGAGTAGCTCTGAATCGAAGCGCTTGTATCAGGCTGCTGTGAACTACTGGCCTGGCGCCTCAGGGCCATTCCTCAACAGGAAGCTGAATGTTTTCATGTAAGACTGAGAGGAAAACCTTCCCAGGAAGAGCAACCTGGACCAAACCTTTGAAAATCCGGGATGAAAAGGCACAAAATAAATATAAAGCTGCAGGGTGCTCTCCCCAGTGTTCCTCTCCTGTTTGCTTGGGCTCTCGTTCGTGCTCCTTGGAAAGGTAGAGCCCTTCACAGCTCTTTGATCCGCATGTGTTACAGAGCACTGTGCTACTTAAAAAAAAAAAAAAAGAAGGCAGGAAGGCTTTTTTTAGTTGGGACTTGGGCTGGTTTTATGAGGAAATAGGAACTGAATTAGTCAACACAGACCACCACTATTGAAATGACTGGTTCGCCAGTGGACTTTCAGCTGTGCTGTTTAAGAGGCCACAGTGACTTGAAATGTCCTTTTGTGGCTACTAGCAGCAGGTGAAAAATATTCATTTATGTATTAGGAATGGTGATATCTAGGGGGAGGGGAGAGTATCCTTCAAATTAAAGCTATACGGGACAGTAGGATACGAATTTGTGCTTGTTCAATCTTACTTAGTCTGCAGCTAAACTTTTTCAGTGTCCTCAACTTTCCATTAAAACAATGGCCGTGTGGGTGGCCTCTGACGGAGTCAACTTGTTTAGCAAGACGTTGGGCCCTCATCTTGCGCCCACTAAAATCAAACCCAAAACTCAGAGCCTCAGTTTTGGAGGCTTTCAACCCTGGAGTACATTATCCTGTGTAACTCCTTACTCAAGAGCTATACTCAACCAGTATGGGCACAATGGCTCATGCAGTTTATCTATTATGATTAGTCTAATAGAAATTTGACTTATGGTTTAAAGCATCTCTTCCTAAACTTGTTCTGTCTTGCCTTGCATGATTCAAAGTGCTGGCAGTGTATTTTCTCTGTGTGACTAGGCATTTTCTGTTTCTTATGGTGAAAACTCACTCGCCTTCTCTACCAGACTGCATTCCTGTGCAAATACTGGTTGTTGTCAAAAGCTCTGCTCGTTCAGCCCTCTGTTTGCTTGGCAGCTGAGTACTACCTGGAAGCCTAGAGGTTAACACAGATTTTCTGAGATACCAATAATCTCGAGACCATTACTGGAGAGCATATGTCCGTCTGTGGAAGAACGCCTGACTCATTAGACAGTCTTTGGGTGGAGTCCCTGTTATAACCTAGTTGTCTGGGTCAGAAGGGCACGGGTAATGGTTGAGTTAGCGATTGCGCAAGTCAGCTGATGTAACCCAGAGACCTAATGATGAACTGTTCCTCTCTGGCTGAGCCATACCTTTAAGGCTTGCACTGTTGGCCTTTTCACGTGCTATAAGAACATAAATCCTTCCAAGATCCTAGTGAACTTTACTGTTAGGTAAGAGGCCCATGGCTGTTACGCAACTGGAAGATGTTCCCTACCCTACTAAAGAGCACAACGCATCCTCCCCAGTCGTGTGGACGCATAGTAGGGCCAGTGCTCACCCACCATATTCCTCTACCCAGCTGCTTACAGAACACAGCATTTCTTTGTTTCTGCAAGGAGTAGAGCTTCAGGCTCTGAAGTAGAGATTTAATTGACTTCAACCACTGTAGCACCAAAGCTTGAGGATGGCTACTTTTATAGCAGAATGTGTGTCAAATGTAGATAAATGAAATTCACTACAAAAGGAAATTAACTTCTGTAATATGTTGAATGTCTAAATGGCTTAAACCCCACCTTTCTACTTGGGGTGGACTTGTATTTACAATCTAAAGTAGTCTCCATAAATAATCTTGCAAACTTTAAGCAAGAGCGAGTAGGAATACTCTGCATTTAATTTTGACATTGCAAGCACACGTTCCACTAACACAGTTGCGTCATAGAGTTACGGTGACCCATCACCAGCTTTGTTCGAGGATTTAAAAAAAAAGAACAAAAAACCACCTTGGTATTGTCTTCATCACGCTCTTTCTCTCTTCCCCTCCCTGTAGGTGGGAAAAGAAATGCTTTCTCAACTTGCAAAGCAAAGGCGGCGACACCAGGACCCCTTCTGGAGATGGAAGCTTGTTAAACCCTAGGTGTGTCCTTCATCCACACAGACCATCCCCAAGGAGTCTGTCTAGGATGTCATTCACCCTGATGTCACTGCTAGAGACACTGAATCATAAAGACAATCACTGCCAAAATTCTTCACTATCACAAGGTCCAGCCCCGATATAAATAGAGCAAATGAGTTCCTGGGTCAGCAGAGCAGCTTTTGTCTTCACTCCACCTCTGCCTTGCACTCTTAAGCCCCTGTCTCATCTGTGTCCATATCGAGTCAGCGAAGTAGCGTGGCTGTCTCTGCCTGCTTCAGCCAACAGAGTAACGTAGACCACAGCTGCCCCATACAGCACATCGAGGAATGGAATTTGCCTGGACTAGGATGACACACTCAACCTTCTTTTTATTTAATGGTGCGACAGGATCAATTTTGATTTTAGCTTTTTTAAGAAACTTGAATGCTTTTATATTTTAACTTTTAGTTTGTAATTTCTTTGGTGTATATTTTACTAGGTATGAGCTTTTAAACAAGTGTCAGAAATCCAAAATACTTTTTAAATAAATGGGTTTGGTTTGTTTTTTTTTTTCTTCCAGAGGAAAATCCTGTATGGAAAAAAAAGGTGGCTTTTTTGTTAAACTATTTGTAACAAATAGTGGCCTCTCAGTCTATATAATGCAGTGTCCCATAGAACTAAATAAATGTAACAACAGTCAGCTGGTCAGTAGACACGTCAGTCTCGCATCATGTACTCTGTAAACATAAGCAATACATCCAGCAAATCTGACTGCAGTGAGTTCTTCTCACCCATTCCCCTTCTCCTTGTAAAAAGCCCAGCACTTGAATTATTACTTCGATTGTTCTGTATTTGTATCCGTTTTTGTTAGCCTGTTAGTGGGATTTTATGCCAGTTGTTGAAATGAGCATTGATGTACTCATTTTTTAAAATAGTAAGGCACAGCCTTTGCCAAAAATACTGTCAACCGTTTTGTTTGGTTTTTTTTTTTTGTCATTCCAGTTTGAGTTTATGTGCTGAGCATTTGTTTTTTAATAAAAGCTTTGTAATAAAACTGAAGTCAATTGTCTGACTTAAAAAAATGAGAATGGCTTGCGCCAGGATCCCTCGAAGGTATAAGCAAGCCCAGGAAGACATAGTCACTTCTAAAGCTGAAGACTTTTGGCTCAGTCTTCCCTTGTAGGAAATGCAATGTGTCTGTTCGTCTGTTTGCTCACCTGGAGTCAGTTTGGATGACTTCCTTCTTAAAGTGAGCAGAAGCCTCTTGTTTTCATATCAGGAGTAAGGGATGGACAGGCTCAGTGCAACCTTACGCTTCTTGGTTTGATTCGGCACAAGTGGAAGTACCAGGGTCTATGATCCCTCCCTATATCTTCAGTTTCCTACTATAATCTTTGTGAATGCAGCAGTGGTTTTATGCTGATGATTAGGAATACGGATCTCCTTTCTGGATGCAGTCCATGCCCACTCAAGTGGTAGGAGCCCGCAGTTTAAGTACTTATAGCTGTATAAATTACTATGCAGTCAGGGACTGGAGGTGGCTGCAGAACTGGCTGTGGATGGCCTGGTTTCATGGTGTCAGATCCAGAGAGCTGGCACGGCCTGCCTACTGCCAGTGGTGCCCATGAGATGTTCCTGCAATAGGGAGCAGCTCCTCTGCACGCTTCAAAACTGAAAATGCAAGTGTTTGAGTCTTTCAAGCCTCAAACGCTACCAGTAACTTCTCTGACACCTTTCCCGTTTTCTTCAAGGACTGGTATTCCACAGCTTTGAAAAACACACACAGCTTCCTGACTTCTACTAAAGGACTTCCAAAGGAGAAAAAACACAAGCCACAGACAAACTATTCCAATCGTTTGTGAGCACTGCAAAGGAAATATGAATTGTACAATGAATCAGCATACCTTGTATTCTAGCTCCTGAATCTTGTTTGGTGTGAGACTGGACTGAGTCAAGCTTGAGCTACAAGAAATGACATGGGTGAGTTACTGCCTAAGGAAGCTTTGTGATTAGATTGTTTATAACTGACCCTTAAACTCTGTTGCATTAGAAATTTCATAATCAAAAATGTTACAAAACAGCTTCCTCTCAAACCAGCATGCACTGCACACAAACCCAATTGTAAGAACGTAACCAGCATTGTAGTGTTTTTAATATGTATTTCTAGCAACTAGTGATTGCATTAGTGTGGTTGGTTGATGCTGTCTGGATGCCAGGTGCCCACCAAAGCTGCTGTATCATTCCCCCTCAGCTGGACAGGGAAAAGAAAATATAAAAAAAGGCTTGTAGATCAAGATAAGGACAGGAAGATCACTCAGCAATTACTGTTACAGGCAAAACAGACCCAACTTGGGGAAATAGGTTTAATTTACTACCAATCAAATGAGAGTACGATAATGAGAAATGAAACCAAATCTTAAAAATACCTTCCCCCCACTCCTTCCTTCTTTTTGGGCTTAACTTTAATCCTGAGTTCTCTATCTCCCCTGAAATGGCAAAGGGGGACGGGGAACGGGGGTTGTGGTCAGTTCATCACGTTGTTTCTGCCACCTCCTCCTCACAGGGGGAGGGCTCTCCCCACTCTACCCTTCTCTAGCTGGGGGCCTCTCCCATGGGAGAGTCCTTCCCACGGGCTGCAGTTCTGCTCCAGCATGGGTCCCTTCCACTGGGCAAGATCCTTCAGGAACAGACTGCTCCAGTGTGTGTCCCCACGGAGTCACGAGTCCTGCCAGCAGACCTGCTCCAGCAGGCACTCCTCTTTCCACAGGTCCTGCTGGGAGCCTGCTCCAGTGTGGGCTTCCCACAAGATCACAGCCTTATTCAGGCATCTGCCTGCACTGGGATGAGGTCCCCCACGGACTGCAGGTGGACTCTGCTCCACCACGGACCTCCCTGGGCTGCAGGTGGACAGCCTGCCTCACCGTGGTCTTCACTGCAACTCAGGGCAATCTCTACTGTGGCTCCTGGAGCACCTGCCCTTTCTTCACTGACCCTGGTGTCTACAGAGTTGCTTCTCTTACAAACTCTTACTCCTCTCTTCTCTGGTTGCCACTGCACTTACACAGCAACTTTTTTTCCCTTCCTAAATACATTATCACAGAGGTGCTACCACCATTGCTGATTGGCTCAGCCTTGGCCAGCACTGGGTGCATCCTGAAGCTGGCTAGCATTGGCTCTGTTGGACATGGGGAAAGCTTCTAGCACCTTCTAACAGAAGCCACTCCTGTAGCATCCCCCACTACCAAAACCTTGATATGCAAACTTAAAGCAGTTTAAAAAAAAGAAAAACAAGTGAGCAGTCAAGGGAATGCTCTCAGATGGCAGGAGAAAAGATCTCAGAGAACTACAACTGTATACTAGAGTTTTGCAAGACTTGGCTACATTTCCATTAAATTATCCCAGCCTTTGCTGGAAACCTGTCTGGTTTTTGGTTTAGGGTTTGGTTTTGTTTCCAAAGGGAAAAAAAGTAAATACTTTAGTGCAGTAATTGTTTTAAATCAAAGATTACTGCAGTGAGATCTGTAAATTACATGTTCCAAAGATAACAGTTCTTTTTAAAACTTTTTAAAACATGACTACTTTATTTAGACTTTTTTTAGTGGCTATTTAAAAAGCCACTTACCCATTTTGCAAAAAAAATGTCCCCAGCAGAGGTGTTAGCCTTATGTAGCACACTGTCCCAAATACACTTAGATAGTGAAGAGCTGCTTGTCTTAAGGATGAAAGGTCTTTCAGCTCTAGCAGTGAAGGAGAAAAAGAATTCAGGAGCTAAAAATAACATCTCTGCTTTTAACATACAGTGAACAAGCACCATGTGTTGGGCTCATTTATAGATCAAAGACCTTTTGCATATAGCAACTATGGGAAAGGTTAACTAATATGCAAGGCTTTGGATGCTCCCATGAGAGTATCTGAAACAGAGTAACAGTGCTATCCTGGAGTAGCCTCTGGAACTTGGGTCAGTGCCTGCTCCTGTTCCCCACTGCTAATCAGTGTTTGTTCCTGCAAGACTTGAAGAGCAGATGGACCTGGGCCTTCACTGCACCACACCAGGTTGTCAGTGGAGACAGACGAGCTAGTAAAAATGGCCTAGTGATGATGGTGTTGCCCTGGCAGTAAGGCTAGGTTTAAATCCTCGTGACACCAAATAAATTATTCCAGGTGACACTCAAAAACGACTCCTAAATTCCTGACGTGCAATTTAGGCAGAAGTCAGCATCTAACCTTGTCTCTCTTGTGTGCCTGAGGAGAAAGATGATTACCCTGTATTTTCCACAAATGGAAAATGTCTTTAAGGATTTAAATGCTCCTACCTAATAGCTGAGTTAATTATCCAGACTCTTCCATATAAGCATCCATAAGCCCAGTCTCCCTCCATATATCTCATTCTATGCATGCGCCAAAACCACCTCAGCACATATCGCAGTACAGGTAGTCCCATTCATAAATACAGGATATATCCTGATAGCTGGGAAATACACATCCTTCCCCCTCCCCTCCTCGAAAATACAGCAGAGGGCAAAGACACAGAACAGGGCGGTTGAGCCAGGATTATTTACAGCTATTCAGGCCAACATCACAGGATGGTCTGGCTCCTCAGGCTTCTGTATCACCTGGACCAGAGCCATTTTCCCTGTTACATAAAAGAACAATGCTCCAGGCTAACTTTGGCTTCTTACACAATGTGATGACAGATTCACTAGTTGTGCTTATAGGAACTTACCAGCTCTAGAGAATTATCTTCTGCTGTAGTTTCGGCCTTGACTAGGCAGTAAGTTAGTTGTGCATGTGACAGTTCAATGATTAGGTCAACAGGCAGCAAATGTAGGCCCTTAAGGACTCAATCCTTGCTCCAGGCTCTAGGACAGCAGAATCCAGAGTGTCAGTCACCAGCACTCCTTTGAAAGCACTACAGCGCACAAGGCTTTGAAGCAACCATTCTGTTTCCTGATGGTCTCCTGCTCTGATCTACATGGTGGCTAATTAGGCTAAAGCAAGAAAGACAGAAAATAAAGGACACTGTAGAAACTAAGAAACGCCCACTGACCTCTCCAATAACACAACTGCAGTTTATTCCCCTTGCATTCACAAGATGAACATGCCAGGAAACCTCTCCTCCAGCATAAGGATCTAATACAAAGTAGAACATTATGGGGGAAGGAAACAACTCCACATATAGCCAGAAGCCCCTCAGCCAGGAACACATTTCTCCTAAGTCAGGTCAGTGACAAAACTACTGGGCTAAGAGGGGTGTTAGCCAAAAGGAGAGCAGCTCTAACAGGAAAGTGGCCTGCTGTAAACACAGACGTTCTACCATGACACCAAAAACCTAGAAAATGTGCCCAAATGCATTCATTTTTCCCCATGACACACCAGGAAGAGGACTTCTGGATTAATGTATGAATTTACCCTGTGAGTCTCCTCATATATATAAAGATCAGCTTTAGAAAACACACAAGCAAACAAGCATCTGCAGCCCCAGGAAAAGGGACGTATCTGCCAGAAATATGGGAAATGAACCTCTTTAACCACCAGCTTTCAGACAGGTCTAAGAAAGGACTAAAATTCTGCTTCCCATCCTCCCAGGTAAATACTCGTACCTTCAGGCCACAGGCTTTAAATGATGTCTTCTCTCTGGCTGGCACACTCCTTGTGCAACAATTGCAACTTCAACTGAGCCACAGAAACAGCGTCTGCTTGGTTGCAAAAATAGTTACTGCTTAGGTGGTCTGGGATAATAAGGTTTTCCTTCTATGAATTATATTCTGCAGGACACATTTTGATACACTCACTTATCCCACCTCCCAGAAACCCAACACAAACAAGCAACAGGTTTGTTCATCCCTCTCAGCTATGGAAAACCAACAGGAATCAGCAGAGCTAGGAGAAAAATTTCCATCTCATACCAGAAGTGCAACTCACCCAAGAACTAGTCTGTCCTGTTCACTGTGCTGAGAAAAGGTAACAATGACAAAATCTTCAACAGAATAAGAAAAATAACATACTCCACAACTAAGTGGTGGTCAAGACACTTACTTGGAGAGGCAGCTCTTA